AGGTGTAGTAGGAAAGCACAAGAAGAACATGTTTACCGCCGATGAGGTTTTTGGTTCCCAAAAATTTTTTTTTTTTTCCTCAAAGGTTCTTATAGAGATGCCTGGTCCAGGCTTACCAGCTGGACTGTACTCCCAGGAGAGAGATGACAAGTCATCCTGAATGTAAGAGATCAGATCAGACATCCTCCTCCAAGCAACCAGTGTGTGTCTACTAGAGAACTGGAAGCAAAGTTTTCCCACATGTGAGTAGTTTTCCTGATGTCATCAGTAGCCACTGACATCACAATAATAATCTGTGAGTGAAGGGCAGGTTTCAGGCCTTAGTGTTTGGTGGAGGAAAACAGGGAGAAGGCAGAGGAACCCTGCCTGGCCTTCCTAGCTGGCCCCTCTATTCACATCTTCATCAAGTAGCTACTCCATGTAAAGTACACCTACGGGGAGCGGGGGTGTACTGTCTCAAGGTGAGGCTCATGACAGGTCTTCAGTAGCTCTTCCTCAAACTGCATTATTTGTCACTTTCATAATGAAAGGACACTGGTTTTGCTAGGTAGTCAAGAAAGGGCCTAAAGGAAGTGTACTTTTTAAAAAATAGGGCACTGCTAATTACCTAAAAAAGGGAGTGGGGGATCAATGTATTGGCCAGGCTTGTCTTAAATTACTGATCCTCCTGCCTAAGCCTCCAGAGTAACAGGGACCACAGGTGTACTCCACAGCATACTATTGGGAAGGAAGCCCTTTGTGTGGGGGGTGGGGGGGAGGCATACCTCAGAGAACAGGAGCAAACAAGAAGCCTAAACTCTGAGACCACTTATTATATAGGAAGTAGGGCGTGGCAAAGCTGGATGGAGAAATGAGCAGGACCTGTCTGTCAATTTGAAGATTCCAGGGCAATGCCAGATAATTCTCAGGACCACATTTGTAGAACTTCTTGAAGGCTCACATGAGATTTGGACAGCATAAAGAAGACCAGCCTTGAAGAGGAGCTTGCTATCACAGCCCGCCCTGTCTCCTAGCTATGGAATGCACTTTTACTTTTTATCTCTTTCTCTGTTTGGCCCAACTTTGTTCTTCAGAGATAGTTCTTCCCTTACCCATTTACCCCTTATTTTGAAGTAAATTTTTGGTCCCATTTTTAGGTTGTCTTGTCCAATTCTTTATTTAAGACAAGGAGGACCTGGAATACTTTGTGCAGCCATTTTTATTTTTATTTAATTTTATTTCATTCGTGGAACTGGGGATTGAACTAGTATTAATAAAATTTCCTTTCTTCTCCTGAGCTCCTTGGCTACTACTGACTCCATTTTCCCCACAACAATGGAAGGAGCTCCATTGACCCAGCTGGATGGTGCCTTCTCTGTTTCAACCCTTGCTGGGTAACAATGGTAGGCTCCCCACTGGCCCACGTAGGTACTGGTTTCTCTACTTCAGCCTTTGCTGCAATAGTAATGGGAGCATCCCCATAGGCCTGATAGCCACCAACGAGCTGGTAGGTCCTCATGGCAACCCACCTGGATTTTTCCACATCCTTGGTAAGAGAACATGGTAGTATAGGAGGAATTATAGGTAGCACTGTTGCTTGAAAGAAAATCAAAACTGATCAGTCTGTTCTGCTTTATACATCATGCTGCCACAACTCCCCCTCTCATGTACTCTCCTGGCTAAAGCCCTCTTATCTACTTTGCATCCCCAAAACAGCCTTGCCCCGTCACTTCTACAGGTTCTGTAGGAAGGGATGCCTGTTGTAGAAGCCCATGGCTTCCATGGAACTAGCAGCAGCAGACCAGATCTGTGTGCATTCCCACAGAGCCCCACATTCCCATGGAGAGCTGGAGAATCCTAATGTGATGGATCCCGAGCCTCTGAGGATAGTCTCAGCCTTCTCATACCAGTGCCAACTTCCTAGAATGCTTTTTTCCTTAGCTCTCCAGTCTTACTAGCACTTCATCTGTCAAGGCTTTTTGTCCAGCTGTATGATACTACTCTTTCCCCAACACTCAGCACCTCAGAGGGGGTGTCTGAGATGGCCCATGTGTCTCCATGACAGCATAATGGAGATGCCCATCTCAAGGTGAGGCTCATGACTGGTCTTCAGTAGCTCTTCCTCAAACTGCATTATTTATCACTTTCATAATGAAAGTACACTAGTTTTGCTAGTGTAGTTGAGAAAGGGTCTAAAGGAAGCACACTTTGTAAAAAAATAGGGCACTACTAAATATTTACAAAAAGGGAGGGAATCAATGTATTGGCCAGGCTTGTCTTAAATTACTGATCCTCCTGCCTAAGCCTCCAGAGTAACAGGGACCACAGGTGTACTCCACAGCATACTATTGGGAAGGAAGCCCTTTGTTAACTAAAGGGAAAGCTAAATTGATAAGTGGGGAGGGTTTGCCGGTTAGCTCAGTTGTTTAAAGCACCTGCTTGGGCAATATCAGTCAGGTGCAGGGGACCTTCATTTGATCACAAGCTGCACCAGACCCAGCCTTGAGGCAGCCTGAGCTAGCAAAAAAAAGAAAAAAAAATCCTACAATTTTGGGCCGGCCAGGTGGCTCATCAGGGACACAGGTTCAATTCCCAGCATGCTGTGCCGGCCCTGCCCTGGGGTACGCGCCTGTAATCCCAGTGTTGGGAGGCTGAAAACAGGAGAATTGCTATGAATCCAGTCTCCATAGTGAGACCCTGTAGATCCTGTACTAAAAAAAAGTTAGGGGTTTTTAAAATACTTTCTGAGAGAATGTGTCATTTGTCTTTACCACATCGTGTCTGCATCTTGTATAATGAGTAACCACTTGGGGGCCTGCCCCTTCGCTCAGTTCTTTAAGTGGCTGCTTAAACAAAGCAATCAGGCTTAGGTTGCTGTGGTTCGATCCCCAGAACTCAAGCCAGCCAAACCTGCCCTTAAGGAATTAAGAGCCAGCCCCAAAAAACCCCACAAAAAACCACTAAGACAACAATATGCAATGTATTAATTATTGAAATTGCTAGTAATCAGTTTTGAAACTGTCTCATTGCTATTTTTTCTCAATAAAATTATTTTTTAAAAAAGAAAAAAAAATGAACTGTTGGTCCTGCACATCACTGGAGAAGTTTTGAGGTGTGGGGGGCAAGCAAAAAGAAATGTGAGGGCCGGCCATATAGCTCAGCAGACTAAACTGCTTGCTTAGGCAGTGCAGCGGCCAGAGTTCAATCCCCAGCGTGCCTTGCCAGCACTGCTCCCAGGGTGTACTTAGACATCGACTGATAATGGGCGTGGTGGCATGTGCTTGTAATGCCGGCACTTGGGAGGCTGAACACAGGAGAATCACTATGAGTCTGATCTACAAAGTGAAACCCTGTAGACCCTGTACTAAATACATTTAAAAAAGAAAAAGAAACATGAAGGTTGAAGCAGGAGTATTTGTTGTGAGTTTGAGGCCCCTGGGCTACAAAGTGAGTTCAAGGTCAGCATGAACTGCATAGTGAAACCCTGTCTTAAAAAGACCAAAAAAAAAAAAAAGTGATGAGACTGTGTGTACACCTCTTGCACAGACGCCTAGTGCCAGCTTACCTGCTGCAATAACTATCCAGAGCACAGAGGAAAAGTTAACATGAGTCTCAGAGACTCAAGTCAAACATTCTCTTCAGCTAATCACACATTGATGTCTAGTAGAGAACTGGTAAGGAAAAGAAGTGGGTCCCACGTTTAGTTTCCCTGCCATGGAAACCAGGCCTGTGATGTCACACCACCTACAGGTCACATTTGGAATCTGTGAGTTGATGAGCAGGGTTCAGGCCCTCTGTGTTTGGTGGAGGACAGAAGGGAGAACAGAGAAGCCTTCCTACCTGCCTGGGCCTTCTATTTGACTTCCTTACCCAAATCCTCAAGAAGCTACCTCCTGTGAAGCACACCTAGAGGTGGGCACTTCCCCAGTGAGCGTAGTGAGGCAAATAAATCCCAAATTATGAGGCTGGACAGAGCCAAGATTAATATAAGGCACAGTCTGTGTGGTTCTTGATCCTATGTATACCATAGTTGGCAAGTAGAGTTGGGTGGATTAGGCTCAGGGGATGACTCCTTGGAGGTGGGCCTGAAGCCTAAATGAGATTTCAACATTTACAGAGGAAAGACATTACAACTGCGAAGAAATAAAAACACTTTATTGACCTTGGTCTGTCCATGTGTACATCTATAGAATGTTTTCCAGGTGTGGTGGCGCGTGCCAATAATCTCAGCAGGCAGAAGGCTGAGGTAAAAGGATCACCTTGAGTTTAAGGACAACCTGAGCTTCATATAGTAGTAAGTTCCAGGTCAGCCTGAACTTTTGAGACATAAGCAATTTTTAAGAACATTTTCATAAATGTCTCAAAAAAGAAGTAAACAGGTCTACTTAAGGTCACACAAGTAGTAGGAGTGTGTGCTCCACAGTGGAGCGTCATGTTGCTTTTTTTTTTTTTTGGTTTTTTTGAGACAGGGTCTGCCTTCTCCCTATGCAGCTCATGCTGGCCTTGAGCTCGCTTTGTAGCCCAGGCTGGTCTCAAACTCACAGCAGGGAGCCTGCCCCATAGCTCAGTTGTTTAAGTGCCTGCTTAAAGCAGTCAGGCTCAGGATGCTGTGGTTCAGATCCCCAGATCCTCAAGGCAAACTAGACCTGCCCTGAAGGCAGCCTGAGCTGGCCAAAAAAAAATCCTTTTTCAAACTCACAGCAATCCTCCTGCCTAAACCTCTTGAGTACTAGGAATGTGCTGCTTAAATAATCAAAATAATAATAACATAATAATAATAATGATAAATCTGAGGCTCCAGATTTATAAATGACAATAATGGGAAGATAAGCTCATCACATTTGACACTGACAGATCCTGGGAATGACGTTCAATATATGTCCAAGGCAAAATGAGGGTCTCCAATGATTTTACAAAGTGGGAATGACAGATTTATTTTAACTCAAAACACATTCATGACAAAATGACAACCTAATCATTTCACTCTCCAATTATAAGAAGGCAAACAATTAGGCTGGGGATACACCTCAGTGGTAATGTTTATTCAACGCTAACATCATAAAACCAACCAACCAAAACAAATGCCACTCCCTCCAAAAAAATCAACAATGGAAAAATAAAACATGATTAAAGGGCATCTGACCTCTAAGTGGTGGCTGGACTGCTCATCTTCAAAATCCACTGAATTCTGCCCAGATGGTAAGTTTTGAAAAGGGAGCCCATACAAAGATCATCTATTTTTAGAAATCATAACATGATACAAAATAAAACCCCCAAATCCACTTTAGTTTTCTTGTGTCAGGTGAAAACCCTCCAATCCCAGCCAGCAGTTTACCTTTCAAAGCCACAAGCAGCTTGCCATGAACAAACCCGACACGTGTTCACCCACCAAGGACCTTGAGAAAAGATCACTGCTCTAGCATCACACTTAACTCAGCCCACATCAAGCTTTCTGAGGTAAAGTCTCTTTCACTGAGGATACCAGTCCCGGTAGGCTTCTCTTTCGACGAGCTGCAAGCTCAATCTTCTGCACCAGGCTCACGTCCCAGGGATGGGTCACAAAGCTCATGACGGTGCCTGGCACATCACTTCCCACACGACCCACCCTCCCTGCTCTGTGGATATAATCCTGCAGGGTGAGGGGGAAATCATAATTGACAACCAGCTCCACATGGGTGCTGTCCAGGCCCCGAGAAGCTATGTCTGTGCAGAGAAGTAAGTCTTGGGAGCCCTTCTGAAAACGCTGAAAGATACCTACCCTCATGGAAGCTGGCATTTCCCCCTGCAGCCTTAAGTGCTGGATTTTGTGATCATCTAAAATATACCCCAGCCAGTTGACAGTGCTGGAGCTGTTACAAAACACTAGGACAGTTCCAGAGGGTCCAGTCTTGTCTTTTTTGTTACGCTGCTTGAGGATGTGCACCAACTCTGTTACTTTGTCTGCTCCTTTCAGCCTCATAAATGTCTGTCTGACATGAGGCATGATACAGTGAAGCTTGGTGCTGGTGATGGTGGTTACAGAGTCTGGGTTGGTGACTTTACTCAGCAAGTGTCCTACACCTTCAGGAAAGGTGGCTCCCACCAGCACTAACTGAGCTTTGGGGTTGAAGATGTCGTCTAAGTCAGCTGGGCCTTCGGCTATATGGCTCTTTCCCAAGATGTAGTCCACCAGTTCTAGGAAGCTTTCATCCAACAGCGTGTCTGCCTCGTCCAACACCATGAAGGAGAGCTGCTCCAGTCTAACTAGTTGACCTTTCAGAGCTTTCCACAGAGCTCCTGGAGTGGCGACTAACACATCTGCCGACGGCTGTTTCGATAGCTGCACCCTGATCTTCCCCACGCCATGGCCTCCCGCAAGCTGCTGCACCTGCAGGCCCAAAGAGCTGCCCAACAGCTGGGCCACAGCCTGTACCTGCTCGGCTAATTCTCGCGAAGGAACAAGCACCAGTCCTCGGGGTGTGAAGATATGGTGGGAATCCAGGTGTGGCTGGCCTATGAGCCGTTGAAGCAGCGGTAGTAGGTAGCTGAGAGTCTTGCCACTGCCGGTTTCCGCAGCACAGAGGACGTGGCGGCCGCGAAGCAGTGAGGGGATGGTACTTGACTGTACAGTTGTGGGCCGAACGACTTCGGGCACAGCCTCCTGCAGTGCATGCAGCAGACGGGAATCCAGACCAAGGTCCTCGAAGCTGCAAACTGATGAGAGGTTCCGCAGCGCTGGTGGCTCGTGTTGCGCTGGTTCGATGGAGAAATAATCCCGACGCGAGAGCCTGTGCCTCCAGCCACGTGAGGCGAGCGGTGCACACTCCCAACGGCCCAACGTGAGACGTGCGGGCTGGTTCAACTCTGGCCTCCGCGCCGAGACTAGCAGTGGTCCAGGTCTCACAAGCACTGGTCGCGGGGTGTTCTGACGCCTGTTTTGCGACTGTTCATGCCGCCGCCGTAGGCTCCGCGGAATTCTCACTACTGGCAGGGGTTCATCGGGATTGCCCACTGTCAGCTCCCGTCTAGGCACCAGGAGTAACCGGCAGGCAAGGAGCCGAACTGGGTGTGCAAGAGCCATGTTTTTAGGGCCGGACAGTCGCACTCCAGTGACGTCACGTACGCGCCACGGCTTCGTGTACGGTGGCTGGCGCGGTTCAGTAAGGCCTGTGGAGCTGCTGGATCGTCTGGAAGGAGGGAGAATTTATACAAGTCAGTGGCTGAGAGGTCTGTAGGTGTGAACCGGGGATGGCGACATCAAGACCCAGGCCAGTCTTGAAGAAGGGGGAGCGGTGGAGGCAGGAGCGGGGTCTGGCAATATGAGGCGGCAGTGGGCCCTGGCCCAGTGAACCAGGTGTGCAGGTGGCTTCCGACGACTGGATCCCTTAGTTCCTACGATTCTCCTTTGTAGTCCTGTTGGTCTCTGCTGTAGTCTGTTTCAGTGCTAGTCTCCCCTGCGGACTCCTAGATAGCGAGGTGCGGCGGTGTTTTCCCAAGTGTAGTTCCCCTGCAAGGACTAGTAAGTAAATACATGTTTACTGAGCGTCTGAATGAATGGTAGAAGTTAGGGGTTGAGACAAGGGGCCAGTCTTATAAATCCGGGTACAATACCAGTGCAAGGTGATAGTGTTTAGTTTATTTCCTGGCTGAATTGGGATGTAAGATAGATCTTTAGGGTTTCTTTTAAGCAGTGTCATCGCTTCTTTTACATTTTTTTCTAGCAGCCCAGTTTTTCTCCCAGCTCTGCTTCCTTGTCACCCTCTTTGGCTTCTCATTCTGAACCCACCATTCTTGCAGCCCTCTCACCTCCAGTGGTTTCTCAGATACCTGAATTTCTGGATAGTAGTGATAAAGCATCACAGTGCTCTCAATAAAGGTTCTGATCAGATACGTGGCTTGTTTCACATGGCCTTGGTCAAGCACAATATTTGACTTGAATTTAGATGTTCAAATTATAGAAAACAGCACATGATTGATACTTTTTGAACAGATCTGAAAAATGAGTATCAATCAGATCTTTTCTATAGTCTAAAGTGCCTATAGTGGAAGATAAAATAAATATTTTTGGATTGATTATGTGGAAGGTTTTTAATACCTGGATAAAGTACTTTATTTTCATGAAATACAGTTGACTCCCTGTCCACACGTTGGGCATCAGTGGTTTCAATCAATTGTGGATTGAAAATATTTAGCTCAGTAGTAGAGTCTTTGCCTAACATGTGCAAGTACCTGAGTTTGAATCCCAGCACTACAAAAGAAAAAAAAATACTTGAGTTTTAAACATGTACACTTTTTACTTCCCCTATATTCCCTAACAGTACAGTATAACAACTATTTATATAACATTTATATTGTGTTAAATAGTGTAAGTTAGGGTCGACCACATAGCTCAGTGGATTAAAGCACCTACTTAGGCAGACGCAGGGGCCTGGGATTTGATCCTGGAGCCTGCCTGCAGGCCCCCGGGGGTGGGGGGGGGCATGCTGAGATAGTGATTGAGACTGGATTTGGTGGCATGGGCCTGTAGTCCCAGCACATGGGAGGCTGAAAACAGGAGAATCGCTGTAAGTCTGATCTATGTGGTGAGACCTTGTAGACCCTGTACTAAATACACTAAATAAATAAATATTATAAGTCATTTATTTTTGATTCAAAGTATAGTATCTGGGTGGTATGAAGGCATGCTATTTTATGGTAAGGGACTTGAATAACCTCTAATTTTGGTATTTTGGAACCAATCCCTCAGGTACAGATGGCTGTACCACAAAAAAGATTAAAACTTTTGCAATTTCAAATATCATTGTGATACAAGTAGAATTTGCTTTTGGAGAGTTACAAGTTAAACCAGAAGGGGAGAGAATTTTGTGTGGTGATGGGTGAGCAGCGTGATTGGATAGAGTAGTAGTTCTAAAGTGAGGGTGATTTTGCTTCTCCCTTCAGCACTTGAAAATGACTAGAGACATTTTTAATTGTCTCATCTGGGGAAGAGCTACTGGCTTCTAGTTGGTGAAAGACAGAGATGCTACTCGACATCATACAATGCCTAGGACAGCCTTCTCACAACAAAGAATAATCTGGCTTCAAACACCAATACAGACATTGCTTGTTGAAAGATCTGCCTGTTTAATGATTGTTTGGACTTACAACTGGACCATTGCTTGGATTTACAACCTGTGTTTCTTTCTTTTCTTTTTTTTTTTTTT